CAAAATCTGTACCAGTGTTTTGTTGAAGGCCTCGGCCAATCCATTTGCCATGGGATAGTAAATTGTAGGGTACCTCCAGTCTATCCCATGCTGTTTGACGAAATTGTTTATTTTTGTGCTTTTGAAGGCTGTCCCATTGTCAGAGATTATTCTGCGTGGAACTCCAAAACGATAGAAGACTTAGCTTTTGAAGAACTGAAGGACGTGCTGTGTTGTGACCTCTCATAATGACACTGCCTTTGCCCATTTGGAAAAATAATTTATAGCAGCAAGTATAAATCTGTGTCCTTTGGAAGAGGGAGGGTCTATCAGAACTATTATGTCCGTGCCCCAAAACTCAAATGGCCACGAGGCAATAGTTGGGTGTAGCACATTCGGAGGTTGGCCCATGCACTTGGCACTGCTGAAATCTTCTGGTTGTATCCATGCAGTCGGACATCATTGCTGACCAATAATATCTGAGTCTCTTAAACTTCATTTCATCTTTGGCTCTGACTGGTGAGTGCTACATAATCCGACATGTACTTCTTTGACAATATTTTGTGCTTTGGATCTGCTTAGACATCGCAGCCACATCTGATCACATAATATTTTGTAGACGACATCACTAATTAGAACATATGACATAGCCCTTCTTGTAATGTGATGTGCTGCTGACTTGTCCTCTAAAAGCTTTTCAGTTTGCAAATATTCTTTAATGACTTATGACAATCTTCGTTGATATCAGTAATCACAATCATCATTTTTTCTTCTTTTCTGAGCTTGTGTAGATTTTTGAGGTTGATTTGAGACAAACCCTCTCTTCCTTGTACCATAATGTTAATTGAATCCTCCGGGGGACATGCTAATTCTTTTACATGCTAATTCTTTTAGCTAATTCTTTTACAAGTTTTGCTAGAGCATCAACATGGGCATTATCTCCCCGAGGAATCCGGTCAAAAGTTACACTAGGAATCTGCTCCAGTAGCTTCATCCCGTACTGATGGTATTTTGTTAACCTTGGATTTAAAATCTTATACTGTCCGGTGACTTGCTGGATGATGAGTTGAGAGTCGCCATAGATGACAATATCCATTATATTCATTAAGATTGCTAACTCCAATTCGGTGATTAAGGCTTCATGCTCTGCTTCGTTGTTTGTGCATGACTCTGTCCGGTGGTATGAGAACCTCAGCATACCCTTATCTGGCATGATAAAGATCAAACCAATCCCTGCTTTGCCTGGTATCCTGGTATAACTTGCTTTGCCTGGTATAACTGTGCCTAATCCTTTGTCTTTTTTGGCTGACAAAGCTCCATCAAAGTACATCTCCCAGCCTTACACATTGGAGAATTCTAACTATAATACTTGCTCATCTGGTAATTCGTCATTAAGAAGGGATCCAGCTGGAAGTGGGTGTGCAACAAGAAAATCTACTAAAATTTGTCCCTTAATAGAACGGAGGGGAACAAAAGTTATATCAAATTGCAAAAAAATCATCGACCATCTGGCTAGAAGTCCAGAGACTTTTGGTCGAGTCATCAAATATTCCAACGGATCAACTTTGGAGATTATGGTAATTTTATGAGAAAGCATGTAATGTCTGAGCTTATGGGGCATGTAGTTTCGGGGGTGGGGGGGGGGGGGGGCAGAAATTAATGCTAGAAAATGCTTCTCAATATACAAATACCTTATCTCCGTCGGTATTATACAACAACTAAAGTAGTAGAGTGCATTTTCTTTACCCTCGTCATTGATTTGGGCTAAAATGGCTCCAAGAGAGTCATTTAAGGCCGCAGTATAAAGTATCAACAGTTTTTCTGGGATAGGGGCTGCCAAAACAGGAGGTGTCATTAAGTATTTCTTAACATCCTCCAAGGCCCGCTAGCATTTCTCTTCCCAAAAAAATTTGACATCCTTTTTAATTTAATTAATGCCGAGAAGGGCTGACACCTACCTGAGAGATTAGAAATAAAGCGTCTCAAATATGCCAACTTCCCTTGGAAGGAACGCAGTTATTTCAAGGTTTTGGGAGGAGACATTTCTAAGATAACTTTAATCTTATCCGAGTCGATCTCGATCCTCCGATGACGGACAACGAAGCCTAAAAATTTCCATGAGGTAACGCCAAAGGCACACTTTAAGGGATTCATCTTAAGGTCATTTTAAGGTCACCTTTCAAACACGATCCTCAAATCATACAAATGGTCTATTTTTTGTTTA